CAGTCCCGCCGGCCTGCCTGGCGCACTCACTGCCCGGAGCAGGACATCGCCTTGCTTCGCCCAAGCCTGAGCCGCTTAGATTTAGGAACCAGGAAGGGCGCGCCTCTTTTGTGCAGGTGTGCATCTGGATGCTTCGTGATCTCTCCATGGTTCACAGGACACGTCTTTTCCAGGTGAGAAGAAAAGTCAGGGTAGAGTGATCCATCCGAAGGAAGTAGCAAAGTGATGCAGTTAGGAAAAGACTCGCTCTCCAAAGAGTAATGACTTAAGACACAGAGAGTGTTTCTGTGCATTCTTTTTCTCTCCGTCTGCTCTGACGGGGATGACAGGGTGCGCGCAGACCGCAACGCACAGGTATTACCTGAATTGCGTGGTAGCACCCGCGAAGAGCAAAACACTCTCCTTGCCCAGGCCTCAGGGTTCAGGGAGGTGACAGTGCCTCTGTTTTACATTAATCCTCGCAGCCATCACCCTCTCCTCATTTCTGCCTCACCGTAGCGTCGCCTGTCATACCGCTGAGAATCTGAACCTCTGTCGAGAAATTGTCACCAGCGTTTATTGGCATAGCGATGCCAGTCCCAGGAGCACTGTCAGGATGAAAGAAGTCCCCAAGCAAAGGGACCCGAGGGACAAGGGCACAGAGGTAGGTTCGATTCTGAAAGCGTCCCCTTTTCCCATCGGATACTGAAGCAGGACTGGAGGACCCAAGACTTAGGCACCTGACCTTTCCCAGGGAATTCACTGTCTCAGACTGACACACACACACAGGTCCCCCTGCTTCCCACAACTCCTTGTCATGCCACACCTGGGCGGCCGATGGCTGAAGCGACTCTTCCACTCATCTGCTGAAGGGAGAAGAAAGCTCCTACCTCTGGCAAGACACAGTGACCGCACAGGGGACGTCACCACTGTCGTCTTCCCAACGCCTAGAGACGCACGATTCTTTTGAGGAAACACAAGGAAAACTTCCCTTCGCTCAACAAAATCCCTGCAGTCCTGAGTTCCGAAAACCGTTATCTAATCCTGAGGGTACCCTCTCCATAAAGGAAATGGCAGACAGTGCTCTCTAAAATGTTGGAGGGCTCACCTCCTACAGGAATTCTGTCACCCTAAACTAGCCAGGCAAAGATGTTTTACTTGAAATTAACTAAAGCTAAGCAGTACAAGAGTTCGAAAGAAAGTAAAAACAGTATCACAGAAAAATGACTGGGAAGTTCAGAATCTTCCGTCTATCTTTTAATCTATTGCTTGTTTGCCTATCTATAGCTTTATGCAGTAATAATGCAACTGCTCTTGTGCTGCAAACTATTGAAAAAGCCAGTATTGTCTATCTAGCTTCTTTTTGCACTCATTTACTGCATTGGTTCTTTTCTTTGATTAGGGCACAGGTGGCTCTCAAAGCTGGTCATGTTAGATCTGGGTTCAAACACAGGAGTCTCTGGCTCTTGCCATGTGCTTATTGAACAGAACTATTTCATGTAAAGAGACAAATGCAGAGCCAAAGACAAAACAAGTTTAGGAGTGGAGAATTCAGCAAGGACAGTTAAAAAAAAAAAAAAGAGAGGGGAGGAGTTTTTATCTGAAAAGATATAAGTAAAATTTTAAAGAAGTAATTAACATACCTCAAAGAAATTGCTAAGTTGATCTGATTCCAACAATTCAATCTCTTGATCTCTCTTTCTCACATATATAGTGAATCTAGAGGGATTTTTTCTGAGAAATACTTCCATGATGAGAGCAAGGTGCAGAATTCCAGCCTGGGACTTCTCCACTGTCACTGATTTTTTAAAAAATGTTTCTTCTGGTTGGGAAAGTCTTTTGAAAGTAAAACATAAGACTAATTATTATAAATGTAGTTTTGTTTCATTTGAACACTTCTTTTTTTTTTCTTGTTTGCCAGATTAATGGCCAAAATAACGTGAAGCCAAAATGAATGGAGCATTGAGGAGCCTTCACGTGGCTCTGGTTGCCAGGGGAACCCACTAGGTCTCTAAATGCGGTGAGCACGGCTGCTTGTGTGGAGTCAGGCTCTTGGGAGTGTGAGATTTTATCATAATATTGAATAAAACCTCATAAAATAGCAAGGAAAAGTAAACTGCTATATATTATTACACACTGATCTTAAAGCACAGGTGATTAGACTTGGTCATTCTACCCAGTACAAACGCTATGCATATAACCAAACACAAGTAAAACACTTTTAAAGATGTAAATGAGGAGATTTTTATTGGTTCATGCTACAGTTCTATGTAGCATTTTAGGTGGTGAGTGGCTTTGGCATTTCTGTCAGATGGACTAAATAACCCACCAGCAAATTGCATTCAACTTCCTTTCTGAAGCTCTAACAACAGACATAAGCCAGCAATGCGTGCAGAGCTGAAGGAAGCAATTCAGTTTACTTAAGACCCAGGTGCAGTGAATGTGGTCTCACCAAGCCAGGATGCAGGCGACTTTTATTCACTTCATTCAGCAGATATTGCTGGATGTCTCCAAGTGGCTGAAGAAAAGGCAGACCCAAGGGAGCAACAGCAACCAAGACAGAGGCAATCCATACACACTGCAGATACGTCATCTGGTGTGAGAGATGGAATCTAAATTTTGATGTTACAAATAATTAGTTGATTACTAATTAATTAATTGATTGATTATTCATAACAATGAACTACATTCAACTCTGATGGTATGTAGGAAAATTTTTTAATAAGCACAATAGACAAAGCAGCAAGTTTTTACAAAATTTTAAAATGGCTTCCCTTCCTCAAGACATTTTACTTGTATCTGTCAGCAAAGAGTCATAATAAATATCCAAGCTGGCTTTGTCTTTGGTGTGAAGCTTCCTGTAAGATACTATGCACTTAGGCAGAGTATAACTTGCCCCTGTGTGTAGAGGCCCTGAGGAAGACCAGCTCCCAGGGAACCCTACTCAGTGAGAGAACATCCAGGAAGCCATTCCTGAAGAAATGGCAGTGATGTTGATATGTAAGGCCTGTGTGGTAGTTATTCAGAAGAAGAAGAAAGAGACTGTTCTGGGCAGGGAGCAGCATATGTGAAGAGCACAGATGGGCGAGAGTGAGGCATATTTGTGGCACTGAGAAGACATCAAAGTGCCTGAGCCTGATGGTCAAGGGCAGTTAAGGCCCACATCATGCTGAAACTTGACATGAATGTGGAAGACTTTGGATTTCAGCCTGAGTAATAGAGAACCATTGAAGGGACTCAGTCGGGAGAGAGGCATGCTTTTGGATTTTTGAAACAACACTTGTGTTTAGTTTGGTGAACATATTGAAGGGGACATGAGTTCTTATGGGTAAAGATGTAGCACATCTATGTAGAACATAAGTGAAGGATTCAGTGAGGACTTTCCCATGGTCATAGACCTAACCATAAAATTTCTTATATGGAAATTCCTGATTGAATTGAATCCACAGATCTGAAAATTCAATACCAATCACACGGCAGGCACTAGGTTGGGAAGTGAGAGAGGTTTTGGCAACACAAAGCAATGAATGGCATATCTGACATATGGGCAGAATTAGTTGAAAGGAGGTCAAGATTAACCCTGGAAGTAGAGGAAAGGCAATGCCAAGGCAGGGATTGAAATTTGAGCAAGAATTTACCAAGAAGAAAAGGCATCAGGGGAAACGTGCAAAGATGAGATCGCCTGATATGCCGTGGCACATTTGCAGTGTGGCAAGTGGTGGAGAGAGATGGAGGTGAGGCATCAGCAGGACAGCAGGTGCCCAGAGCCAGGGAAGAGCAGTTCCAGCTGCACTGGGGTTCTGAGTGGACTGTGCAGCTGATGTGGAAGTTGGTGGGTGTGGGGTGAGGAGACCTATACACAGAACAGTGGTAAAGTTCTTCTAAGGGTCTGGGAAAGAGATGAGTACACCCTAAAGCAATGCATTTGCTGAGCAAATGGGGAGGAGATGATAGTTTTCAGAACCGTTTAGCAAATTACATTGGCAAGACTTGTGGTTGAAATGAACGTGGAAGTTAGGGAGATGGAAAGGTTCAGAATTACTCTCGAAATATGCTTGGGTGACCAAGTGAATGACAATGCCACTAACCGAAATAAGAAATACAGGAAAAAAATCACAACAAGCTTTGGAAAGGACGTAATGAGCTCTCGGGTTTCGGTGTTCGAGGTACCAGTGAGGCATTCATTTGTGTACATAGGGCTGGCTCGTGCTGGCAAAATTCAATATTGGAGAGAGAGGGAGCAGTTAGAGCCACGACAGTGAGTAAGGGCTCCCAGGTGGGCATGCCAAGCAAAACAGCTGAGGGGAAAAAGCTGAAGAAACCACAGCCTTGAATAGGGATCTAGCAAAGAAGACTGATGAAGAACAGACATAAAGGAAGAAAGAGTCAGGGAAACCAAGAGAAGATAGAATCTCAGGCGGGAAAGGTGCAGTGTCCACACAACTGACAACTTAAATAAGTTACTTGGCAAAGAGGAAGTCACTGGAGACCCCAGCACTATCTATAATTTGTATTATGTT